TAATTTAATTTGTGGCATTTGTCTAATGCAGTGTTTCCCAACGTGGTCCAGGTGAACCACCGGTGGTCCACATAGCATTTCTAGTGGTCCACAAACAATTCATAGCCATAAAGAAATTGTAGGCATTTCATAAAAAATTATCAAAATTATTCATACTTTGAAAAATAAAAAAATATATTTCGTTTAATTGCACATATGTCCATTATATTTGAAAAATTTGAAATTTCGTAGGTATTATACAGTAGTTTTAAGGTATGGTATTATTTTACTTTTTATCATATATATTTATTAGACCTAGAAAATAATGAGCCAAGAGATGAAAATATATTTATGGTATATATATATATATATATATGTTTATATATATAAATATTGTCATCCGCAGACAGACTGTTTTACTGTATCACAGGTCATTAGTGTGGCTCGATGTACGCTTGTTTCTAGCTAGGATCGAAAACCGTCTGAATTGGCATCAGTCGGAAATTCTACCCCTAAACCTTTGGCTATCGGCAGGAATGAATGTGAATTTAAGCGTATTTATTTTTAGATAAACACACAATGACTGATCGAACTCATTTCGCTTTAACGAAGAGTCTTGTATTATTAGCCGTAATAGTCACTGTTTATAAACCCACACTTCCTTCCCAGAGAGCTCAACCTAAATAAATTTTTTCAGGAGCAAAATATATATATATATATATATATATATATATATATATATATATATATGTGTGTGTGTGTGTGTGTGTGTGTGTGTGTGTGTGTGTGAAAAGTGTATCTAAATATAAATAAATACATATATGTATAATTATTTATATATTATATATGGTACTTATTAGAAAGCGCTCAATATCAGAGATAGAGTTAACATATTTATTGGGTAGATGTAGACCTGGGTTTCACGCTTTAGCGATCATCAGACACTGACGATCGCTAAAGCGTGAAACCCAGGGTCACAAACTCACATCTATCCAACCAAATATATATATATATATATATATATATATATATATATATATATTAATTTGTGTATTTAGGCAGCAATCCTTCTTTCATGCACATTTAATTGAATACGACTCTGACAAGGTGCTTTTATATAGCTTTTATACAATTTCTCATGCAATCTAATAATTTTTTCTTTACAAATGATAAATTATATAAAAACAGTCCGAATGTTCTTTTTAGCTCTATTTCGATATTTCTATATTTGTATCTAACTTTCGGCTATACATTTAGCCATTTTCAAGGATTAAACATTGTATCTCTTAAATAAAAAATAGTTTGTTGCATGCATGTTTTATAAAATGTTTTCATTTTTCAAAACACTGTCAATATATTGTGCCCATGTTCATAGTTGATATTATTAAGTGTTGCTTTTTTTTTGCATTTATTAATAAGGCTTCCATTATTTTTAGCCTTTTTTTTTTTTTGGCATATAGATGATGCTATTATATTAGTGTTGTCATCATGCATATTACGAATAGAATCCGGTAGGTCTCCATGAATATTTAAATGAGATCTAATTGAGCTATTGTCAGAAAGGTGTAAAGTGAGTCTGCGTGTCAAACATGTTGTAGTGTGGCTTATATAATTATTTACAAATTTTAATTGATCAGGAATATAATTCCTTAATGGCCATTTAAATTTGTAAATAATATTTGTCCTATTTTAATTTTGTTCTAAGAAGTGAATTATTATTTTTAACTATAATTATTATTTTATAACTATATAATTATATTTTAACTTGTCTGTCGTAGTCAATGAAATATGCATATATATATATATATATGTATATATATATATATATATATATATATATATACGTTGCCTGACGATTGTGTCTAGCATGAAACAGCCTGTCGCTTCTCAGTGTTGACTTCAATGTTCACTTTTATATTTACACACGCTCTGTCTCTGATATTGAGCACTTTATCCTATAAATATAGCACACCTTAAGACTATATTCCTTCATATATATATATATATATATATATATGAATTTTTCATGCTGGTATTTTATAAGTTATAAATGGGACGTTGATGCCAATCTAGTAGCATGGTTAAATTAATACAGTCCTGGCACCAGGGAAAATAGCCTGTCAGAGTAGTTGCCATGAAAATATTTGTAGAAAAGGCAAAGGGAAGCCATATTACTTCTGTGAGAAAGTGACTGGGGCCGAAATGCCACATCCGGACCGACTACATTGCAGATCCTTCTTTGGATTTTGTCTAGGAACTCGGGATGAACAATAGGGGCACTAGACCTTTTTTTAAGCAATTCACACCAGGCAATGCCGGAGTGCCACTAGCACGGAAGGGATTTAGGTGAATGGAGAACAAGAGTAAAGAGGCGTGTTTGAAGAAAAGATACAGAGAAGAATGGGGAATAACATCAAGGTATCACAAGATGTCGATTGACATTACACTTAAAATATTTGAAGATCATAATCATCGGGGAAGCAAGTAAGGGGAAGGGAGTTTCACAGACGGGAAGTACGAGAGAAGAAGCTGTTTGATTAGAAGAGACGGTTACATTTAACCATTTCGACAATGAAAGGGGGGAACTGAGATGCCATCCTAGTAGCTCGCTGAAATTCATGCACTTTGTGAACCAGCGAAAGTAGCTCGACGGAACAGTTGCCGTGAAAATACTTGTAGAAGAGACAGAGGGAAGCCACGGCACGTCTGTGAGGAAGCGACTGTAGATGAGATGCCAGATCAGGACCTATCGCATTGCGTATTCGATTTTTTTGAGGACCTCGAAACGTACAGCGGGTGGGGGGATTGCACCAGAAAATGACAGCAATAGTCTATGCAAGTACGGATGGTTGATTTCTAGATTTGAAGGATGGACTCAGACGAGAAAAACTTTCTGACAGGACACAGGGAGCCATCTTTCCTTGCCGGAGCTGAAGCTATTGACTCACTGTATTTGTTAAATATGGCAAAAGTATTCAATGCTTGGACGAATGGTGGATTTGTAGATATGTAATCTGAACACAGACGAGAAAAACCTTCCGGGACGACAGTCAGAACCAAATATCCACGCATTAAATGCAGCTATTGATTCAATGTAGTTGTCCAGCCTCAAGTCAGTGGAAAACATGAAGGCTCAAAGAGTCGTTCTCGTGAACTCGAGCATCAACCATGATGATA